CTACAAAAACACTATGGACCGGGGCGCCTGGGTGGCTTAGTCGGTTAAGGGTCTGACTCTTAGTTTTGGCTCAGGTCATGATCTCAGGGTTGTGAGATCGAGCCCCACATCCAGCTCTGCACTGGGCGTGGAGCCTGCTTAAGATCTTCTCTCTCCCTCTCCCTCTGTCCCTTCTCTCCCAACCCCCGCGCTCACTAGCTCTGTCTCTCTCTATAAAGGAAAAAAACAAAAAACCCCACAAAAGCCCAGACACATCAATGCAAAATTTTACATACAACTTCAGGTAGTTAATAGACTCTCTGAAGCTCATCTATGCATCGCCTAGGTTTCTGCTACAGTAGATACATGGACAGTTTAATGGCAGAGAAAGTATTTGACCTGCATTTCTCCCTCTGGCCTCAGAGAAGTGCTGGCTCCAGGACAAAACCTTGGTGCTGAAAAATGGCTGGACTCTCATCTGTAACAAGGGCTTCCACCTTACTGGAGTGAAATGTTACTTAAGCTCCTCACACTGCTCCTGCTGTGTGGGCACCTACCTGTGTGAGGTGTTGGGGGAGGGACTACTGGCCTTAATACCATTTTGGGTCTCTGCTTCTAACCATCTAACTCACTAATTCTCAAAAGCGGGGAGAAGGTAGGGACATGTGAGAGCAGTTTGTAGACATAAATTCAGTATCATATTCAGTATCATATTTTAATCCTTAACAATAAAAAAACAAGCTATTGTTTTCCTAATATAAGTATGTCAAATGGGGGATTTGCCACATAGAACTTGAGCTTCAGAGAGATGAAAGAAGTAGCTGGGAAGGTAGGCAGATTATTCTCTTTAAGTCATACCTAGGAGGTTGAGCCTTATCCTGAAAGCAAGTGGGGGGACTACTTAAAGGCTTTAAGCTGGAAAGTGACATGATTTGAGCCTTTTTTCAATTCTTTTCGTTGCACAGTGGAGAAAGAATTAGCAGGGGACAAATTTGGAAATCAGCATACTAGTTAGGCGGTTGTAGTCATTCAGTTTAAGAGATAATGGGCCTTGGATTCTGGGTACAGACGTAGGAATAGAAGTAAGTAGGTGGTTTGGAGAAAGAGATACTCCAGAGGTTGAATAAACTTGGACTTATTAATTTGGTGGTGGGAAGCCAAAGAGGAGTCGAGTTAGATTTCCAGATTTCTGGCTTGGGCAGTTAAAAGGTGGTGGTTATCCAGGTCCATAGAGAATGCTGGAAGCAGCACTGGGGTATGTGGAGATCCAAATACTATTATTTCCCATTCCTTGCTTCTAGGAGGTTGACAGAAAGGCCAGGAATGGATGCAGGGGCTGACACCCACTTCTGGGCCGCCCACATTTTTCCAAGAACAGTGACAGCCCCTGCTGAACATTTCTTCTGGTCTATCCATTCTTTCCCTCTGCTCTACTGAGTTAGGGTTTTCTCTTAGCCTCTTCACTCCCAACCCCTCACCAACACAGTTGAAACAGACGATCAATTTAGGAGAAAGTCACAAGGAAAAAGTTACATCAACCTGAGGATAGAATTTAATGACAACCAAACAAGACATGCATTAATAAATTGATATATATCATTTTTATTATGCACAGATAAAGGACTTAAAACTGTGGTTATCAAAACTATACATCTAAGCATGTTCATAAAATTGCCAACACATTGAACAGAGAAAAGAATACAACAGGGGTGTTCAAACTGGCCACAGGGATTTTAAGGGTACTCTTTTTACCCTGATAGATGAAAAACAGCAACAAAATCAGGCTCACTCAGGAAAAACCAGAAGAGAGAAGTATTGTATTTGGAAACTGATAATAGTCCTTTTTAGAAAAACATCTGTCAGTTTCATGAACAACCCCCAGATAAAACAAACAGGAAAAAGGTCACACACACACAAGTCACCCAACAAAATGTGCTCTGTTAACACACCCAGCAGTACGAGCATCACTCACACCATGAGGTAGTTACAGTACAAAAAGAGTGGCACGCGTGTGCGCACCCCACACACCCACAACCATGCCCACTACAGAACACTCACAGAAAATGGGTTTACAATCTTATTACAGACAAGGAAAAGACCATTTTCGTTTGTTTGTATAGAAAATGCTATAGAAACAGCTCAGACAGATGTCTCTGACTCTTAAAATACAGAGTAATTGCTGGTAAACACATCACGAAAAGCTAGAGGGCATTACACAGACCCTCTGCCTTGGGAGTTCAGAGCATTTCAACAATAGCTTTAGCTTGAACAACAAACAAAACCAAATGGTCTCTGTGAATAGGGTGTAGCCTGCTGAAGTAACGAAAGACTTTGTAGACAGAAGCATTTAACTGGAATATAACAACAGTTTTAAAGAAACTCGCAGAACTTGTTATAAAGTACAGCTTGTATTTTGTATTGAAACTGTGAAGTATGAAGCGATTGGAAATGTAGTAAGAAGCTAGGGAGATAACACTTTTTTTAGAAACATTTTTTAGAGACATTTCTGAGATACCTAATGACATTCACTCTCCAATTAACGTGGGATCAGGTTTATCAACACAGATTTCTTGATCTGAATAATACTTCCGACAGTAAGACCTAAACAAATAAAAGGTGATGTTTTTTCTTTTCTTTCTTTTAAAATCTTTTGGTTTGCATCCATAAATTTGTAAATTAATTTTAAATTATGTATAAAATCATTGGCAATGTAGCATCTCTCTCAAAAATATACATTTAAATATAATCACGAAAGGCTTTAACCCTGCCCATCTGAAGATTTGGATCTTTTAATATCTCTTAATAGCTAATTTTCTTTTTAATAGGATGGAAAGGGTTTTTTAAACAGCAAAGAACTGATCAAAAGAATTCACAGTAACTGAAATTAAACATTTCATATGGAGTAATTTAAATTTATCGAAAACACTTAAATATATCTTTATACACAAATTTTTGTAGTAAAATATAGCTATAAGTGACTTAAAGACTCTAGTCTTCCTTGAAGACATCTTTAAACTTTTTTATACATAGAATATGCTAAAACAATACATTCTGCTGAAGGTTAGGCAAAGCGCATTATTTTCAAACACAGGTAGCATCATCTAATTCCTCCATTCTGATACCCTTGTGTTAAAAAATTAACTGAAGGAAATAAATTCTCTAATCTCATATCTTCTTTTGTATGTGGAAATCTGCAAAATTTTCAAGAAATCAATGTAGATAGCCTCAAAATCGTAGCTCTCAAGTAATCTGTTTTGGTTCATATTATCCAGATTGAGTATCCACACTTCTCAAAGCAGAGTATTACTCTATGAGTGGGTAATATATCTGTCCTATCAGTGACTAGTATGATCTATCAGTATCCTATCAATGACTCTCAGTATCTCCACCTACTTGTGTGCCTTTTAGACACTGCCTTCAGGTCTTGGGTGTCATCAACATTTTCTACTTAGGGTTCCATTCAGTGAACTAGGCACAACTTCCTTATTTTAAGGGCGGCGAGATTTGTTAATGAATATTTTGGGGTAGAATCTAGCCTTCTCTGTTTGTAGGTTTCTGAGTCATTTTGGGGAAAATTCTGGAAAAAGGTTAATATTTACCTGCAATGAAGCTATCCTCAGTAGTAAATGAATTGGCATGGAAATTTCCCTCTGGCAGTCTTTTTTTTCTTTTTAACACAGAGGTATCAGTTGAGCTTATTTTAGCTGCAAAGTGGCATCATATTATTCCATTTTAATGAAATCCACCTCAAATCCTTTTTGAGTTTGGAAAACATTTAAGGCAAGAGAACTAAAGCAGTCCCAAATGAGTGCCCTTTTCCAGATCTCAGCACTTTCTTGGCAGACTTGGTGACACGGTTCAGATAATCAACCGGAATCCAACAGGATCTGCTGTGCATTTGCACGAACAAGAGCTTCGCTTTGTACAAAAAGGTCTATTAAAAAGGTTGACGTGTTTTGAGTGGAAACACGAATTCTCCCAAATACATTTGAGAGCAAGTTCCAACTCGGAGGCATAGGGCATTTTAAAAAGGGGAATGAATTCTCTCTTTTTTAACTGAGAAAACGAATGTGCCAGATGTCACAGTCTATACCTGTCCTTGCATATACGTTACTGTGCAAATTCCTCTTCTACTTTAAAATTAAATTTGCCCCCATCTATGCATGAGTTTTTCCGAACACAAGGTCATAAATGGGCACAAATCTGCAGTCCCAGACTTTGGCCATTTTCAGTTTCTATCTACTTATAAAGAAATACAAAATTTGCATTAAGACATTTTTGCAGTCGGTGTGCGAGTGCGGGAGAAGGGGGAAGCTGATAAGGTCATCAGCTCGGGTTTTGGCCCAGGGCACCAGAAAGGAATGTTGCTGTGATGTGTGTCAGGATGCAGTCCCCGAGGGCAGCACCCGTCAAGCCGAGAACGTCAGCCCCTAGAGGGTGTGACAGCAAAGTGAGAAGTGTGCATCCAGAAGGTGCAGATTAGACGTGGAGGAACACACTTAGAAAATCCTGAAGTACTCCTGTCGTCTTACATCTTGGTTCAGTTACCCAAGAACCTTCGGCCGTATCTCCTCACGGGTCCTACTGCCTGCTTCTTATCCTCTTACCGACTCCTCGCGTCAGGATAAATCTCAGGGCCCCAATTTACGGACAGTCTTACCTGGACAAAGCAGCATTTTGAAAACTGGCATGTGTTTCACATTGAAAGCCCCCAAGCCTGTGCGGGGCTGGTGGAGAAGGCCGCCACCTCGGCTTTCTCGCGTGAGTTCTAGTGCGCTACGGAAGTCCAGGGGTCACACGGGGGTTAGCCCTGGGGGGGCGGGGACGAATACGACAGGTGGTCTCGGCAGGGAAATCACTCCCTCTTCGCAGGGGCGCGGCGACGCCGTCCTCCGAGGCCGCAGGCCGCGGCCGC